CCCCAAAACCCCAAAACCCCAAAACCCCACACCTCTGAATAAATATTGAAAATAAAATTTGAATTTATAATAATAAAATGGAAAACATTACCAAAGTTAGTAAAGAAGAGGACATTGAGAAAATCAGGTAATCGAGAACTGAATTTTAGAGTCTCCTAAATGTTATCCTTTATTTGTCACAAGTTCTAAAATTTAATGTCAAAACTAAAATTCATCAACTTTTAAAATCATTACATTGAAAACTTCTTAAACAAGAAGCTACAGCTTAAACTAAAAAGAATTCGGCTACCTTATCTCTCCAAAACTTAATTGTCATCTTGATAAATTGCTTTTATTCCTAAATACTTAAACTTCAGATTTAAAAATATCAAAATTAATATTCTATCATGAATCGAACTGAAACTTTCTGATGGATTCCGACATTGATCCCCTCCACGTCCATCTCTAATTATGCAGTCTAGAGAAATCTATTATGGAAGAAACCAAGGAACAAGAAGTCACCAGGTGCCAGAACATTGTCTATAAGATTTATCCAGACGAAAGAAAAATTGAACCACTGGATTCAGAGTTTGGAGAAGCTTCAGGAAATAGCAGAATCCAGATTGGTTTCAGAGACTTTAAAAATGTGAAACTTGAACAAAGTTTAAAGAATCTCATATTCTTTGATGTGAATCGGATTGATTTTGAAAGTATTGATTCTAAGAATAGGCATTTAGTAGATTTCTTAGAATCCTCATTCCCAAATAAAACGAATGAGTTCTATTTTAACTCCAGGAATAAAATTGATCTGAATAGGTCCAATTACTTAAACTCACTGCTCAGGCTCAGTTCTAAAGTCACTCAAAAAGTTTCATTTAATTCTCTATTCATTGGCCTCCCTCAACTGAAGAGATTGGTGGCAGCTTACAAGCATGTCAGAGTGTTGATATTGTGGGGTTCCAAGTTATCAATCCCAAGTGTTCCAGATTTATCAAAGGCTCTTACAAATTGCCAAATCCAGAAACTAGGTTTATTCGGATCAGGAAGCTATCATTTAAGTGACTGGAAGAGCAATTTCTACCAGTTTAAGAACTTGATACAAGGGCTAGCAAGTTCTCCAGATTTAAGGTTGAGTCTCAAGGAGGTAGATATCATCTACTGCTGAGTAAACCAAAATGAAGCTCAACAGGTCTTTGAAGAAAACCAACTTGGAGATGTGGAAATAATTGGTGGAAATTAAATTTTGGTTAAATTTTGACTTTTCTTCCTTGACTAAATGGCTTCATTTCCCCATATTTAACACTTAGTGGTTTTTTATTATATTTTGAGGTTTGATTAATCTGGGGTTTTGGGGTTTTGGGGTTTTGGGG